TGGTGGTAAAGAACCTGCCTGCAATGTAGGAGACAGAAGAGATGGGGCTTTGATCCCTGGGTCAGGAAGATCCCCTAGAGAAGAGCATGGCAACCCACTCCAGTATTCTTGTCTGGAGAACTGCGTGGACAGAGGAGACTGGTGGGCTATAATCCATGGGGTTGCAAAGAGTCAGACATGACTGAAGCAACTTAGCATACATGCATGTACTTCATGAATATGACTGGTGATACTACTGAATGGAAAAATAGCATGCCTAACTCCAGGTATGGCCCACTGGAGGTGGTCCTTCCTTGGGTCTTTAAATTAAGTGGTCTAACTTGATTCTTTCTAACACACACACTCATACATATCACATAACCTTTATAATAAGGAGGAAATAATTGCTATAGCCATTTAACAGGTGAAGAAATTGACAAAGAACAACTTATGGTGTTCATTACAGTCACACAGCAAATTATAATGACAGAGCCTGGCCCAAATCCTCAAATTTTTGGCCTTTTCTCATCTTTTCATACATGTTAAGTAATCCATAAAAACTGCATTTAAAAGGGGAAAAAATGATGTTAAAACTGAAGAATTTCTTTGCTTCAAAATTTACTGAAAATTTTGGAGAGTGAGTCATCATAGTTATAGCAGGACAGAATAGTCAAGAGTTAAGTAAAAGGCAGGTCATAAATTGGGATGGAATGATATTCATTCAAATACTATTTTAAAAAAAGAAACTTAAATGTGAAATTGAGAAAGTTCGAGTGACAATATATAATTTTTCATGCAAATCCTATGCACTGAAGCTCTGATGAGTTGCTAGCAAAATGCCATCTATAAAAAATTACCTGGAGATAACCAGGGAGTTTTGTTTCAATTCCTATAAATTAGAGAAAATATATTTAAATGCAAAGGGTCATTTTTTTAAAAAGCATTAGCTATTAGAGGAAAGGCAGCATGAAATATATAAGAAAAACTCATGACCCACTAATAGAAAAGTGTTTTTAAGAGGACTGGAAGAGAGTTTGAAAAAGAGGAAATTAGGAGATATAATTTAGGTAGATGTTTAAAGGAACATTTAAGCGGATTAAAAGAATATAGTTTAGTTACCATGAATGAATAAAGAATTGACTTGTATTCTAGAAACCAGATATCTCTAAATTTATATCTAGTTGAAAACTCAATGATTCCATAATTTTTTGATCTTCAAGTTTTCTTCCAACTCCACAATTCAGAGAAATTGGAAAGGTAAGTATACTATCTATAAGCAGAGACGTGTGAAAAATGAGGTCAACAAGAGCTTACTGATGGATTGCACCTTATTTTAACTTTGTTTAAAATAATTTGTAAAAAGAGTTGCACAGAGCAAGCACCAATCTCTATGTTTATATTAAATCATTGAGCATAAACAGCTTTAATGAAATGTATTTGGGGAAAAATAACTTCAAATATATTTATAAGAGGAAGAATTCTAAGCTCTTAGCTACAAGCAAGGAAAAAGGAACAGGTGTCAATATACCTCCATCCCCTAAAAGTATTAGTCAGAGGATGTCTGTGCTAAAAATGCTGGCAACTAATGCATTTTTTAGCACCAAGTGCCAGAAATATCTTTGACTTCTTTTATCTGATTAAATCATCCAACAGCCCCCGAGGTAGGATCTAAACTTTTACAAAATTTAGATGCCTTCATTTCTGACGTAGTGGATGTAATATTGTCCACCATACCAGAAAAACCTAACATAAAATTTTCAGTGCTGGGCAACTGTTAGAATCAAGAGATAAAAATTTTCTGTGGGGACAGCTAAATAAATTTTGTAGTTGCTTTCACTAGGAAAAAATGAGAGTCAATAGAATTAGGAACAAAGACTATGAAATAATACACTTTCTGATCAAATAGGAGAATTCAGCATCTAAAGCATATTCGGTTAAACTGCATTGAAACCCAAAAGGACACAATAAATTATAGGGGTAAGTTGATATCATACTTAATAATTCTAAGATTTGGTGGAGAACCAAAACTACCATTAAAATCAAGAATAGCTTAGATGAATTAATTTTTGATAAAAGATAGGGACATTTGTGATATTTTCATTTGTTAACTTAGAAAATAATACTTAGTCACTTCTAGAGTCTCGACACTGGGTATACAGTGGCAAAGTTCTGTCTGTTGAAATGTTAGAGCAGATGGCCAATGAGTGGCTATTGTTCCCAAGAAGATATAACTGATCATTGACCAACGACATGACTGGGTGCCTTTCCCAAAAATTGCTTTGGCATCGAGGGTTAATCTTCAGTCTTGGAGGCTTGAAAACGTATTTCTTAGCAAACCAAGAGTGACTGTGTCACTCAGAGTAGAATCGCTTTGACCAATGTCATTAAGACCAATGTTAAAACCAGAATAACCTTTGCGATAGATAATCTCAGAGACCTCAATACTCATATTCTCATAACTCAGCAGATATATGTGCTCTGTCGCTCCAGTCATGTCTGACTCTTTGCTACCCCATGAACTGTGGCCCACCAAGCTCCTCTGTCCATGCAATTCTCCAGGCAAGAATATTGGATTGGGTAGCCATTTCCTCCTCCAAGGGATCTTCCAGACTCAGGGATCAAACCTGGGTCTCCCACATTGCAGGCAGATTCTTTACTTTCTGAGCCACCAGGGAAGCCGATATATATAGCAAGCTAAATTATAATTAGGGAATTGCCTAGTGAATATAGGATTATATAATAAAGGGAACTGGGCTGGAATTTCTTTGGCCCAAAGCTCTTCTGGCCTAGCTGATGTTTGGATGAAGACAAGCCATCATTTGTGTCTGCTACTCTTTTTTGCCAATGCTTCAATCAGGTTACAATGTAAGTTTTATCAGCTGGGAAGACCTTGTACCTCTTTTCTCAGATTCCTTATATGCTGATCTGTAGCTTCATATTTGGAGGGCAAACATTTGTAGTCTATTCCAAATCCCATTTGTTAACTCACTTCTGCTCACAGGACACAAAGACAAAATCGTGGAAAACCAAAAGGGTTTCCATCAATTGTTCTTTCATTCCAAAGAAACAGACTATATCCTGATCCAGACGCAGCCTTGACGTGCCAGGCTTTTTATTATAATCTTAGATAAGGGCAGCTTGTGTTCAATGGTAAAGACAAGAGTAAAGAAGCCGCCTAGAGCTCAGTGAGACAGCTGTGCCCCAAAGTAAGGTTGTTGCCTCAGGGCTTCCTTTTGTTTACCCATGAGCGTTGCCCTTAGCATCTCAGACAGCACTGCCACCTCCCCTCAGGGTTTCTAGTTACCCCTGAAAGCTTTGTATGAAGAGATACTACAACCAAAGATAACTTTCATAAATGATAGACCAGATGGTCCAAGCAAAAATTAGTCTCCAAAATATATCTCATAATTAGTTATTTTTTCTTACAAATTTCAAATGCCATAGAATCTTGTATCTGCTGCAACAGACAAAACTCTTGATCCATCAGAGAGATGCCTGTTGTTCAACTGGTGGGGGAAATAGTGATGAAGGTTTTTTCTTTACAAGATTTGCTTAAGAAGTAGAGAAGTGATCATTTGCTCCAGTTTGCCATCCCCTGGCCTAGGGTAGTTTGGCCGTGAAAACTTCAAGTTGGCACGCAAACATTTAAAGAGGAATTTTGAGAGCTTTAAAATTTAAAGGTCATTTTGTGGAATAAAGCAATAAATATTGAACAAATGAAATAAACTAGAGGAAGCTTTCAGAGGATGCCACCATTGCCAAATTACCTTTAAAATTTTTCTGTGAATTTTAATTAGAGTAGTAAGATCATCCACAAACTCCCTATCACTCAGCCCTACAAAATCGTGATCTAGTCTAGTGAAGAAGTCAGTCAATAAACCAGTGAGACCCAAGGAAGAACCTGAGGCTATTCAATACCAGTATGTAGGTAAGCATCATTCGGCCAGAAGAACTGAAGTGACTACATATGATCTGCAGTCAGGGGAATGAAACTACACAGTACCTCTGGGCTGGGCAAGAAGTATCTTGTTATGCCTGGAGATAGAAGCTGGGTAACGTTCGACACTCCGCCCCCTCTGTTTTTTTCTGAAAAGTCCTAGGAAGGCAGAGGGCTCTGTGAGTTAATTCAGAGCCTCCACAGGGCCGGGATCTGTCAAAACCGTCTCTTTGTAACGCCCTAATGTGGGCTGACCCTTTCTGCATCAGGTGGCTGCTCTGCTAGTCGGTTAATTAATACAGGAACGCAAATCCTGAATCCTGGGCTGAGAACGCACAAACTGATTTGGTAAACAAATGATATGTAAAATCTATACACAGAGAGTGGCAAGTGACAAAGGAAATTACAAATGCCCCTAAACACTCTTTCCCATCGATTGGCAGAGAGGATGTTGCACATACAGAGGAGATGGAGCTTAAAATTAGGCGGACTGATTCAGAGGTTTGTTTTGATTTTTTAAATCATTTATTAAAAATAAAAATGTGTGCGCGTACGTGTGGGGAGGGGGAACAAGATTCCCTAACGCAAAGAGGCTGTCGGCAGACGTTGTACATACAAATGAAAGGGCGCTCTCTAAATCTCCTAAGAACTAAATGTACAGAAATGTGCAGTGATCGTGCAACTCGCCCGGAGAAGGCAGCCTCGGGAGTTGAAGACGATCACGACCCTGCAAGAGGAAAGCAAACGACTGGACTGGAACTTCCTGCGACTGCCAGAGGTGAGCTTCAGGAGGGGACCGGCCACGCCAAGTCGGAGACTGCTTTCAACAGGAAAACACGCGCGTGTCCCTGCTGGGGCCAGGGGTGGGGGACCGGCGTCCCAGCAAAGACCCCCTTCTGGAGATCGGTGCGGGGGGTGGGAGGGAAGGAGCCCCCCAGGGGCTCTGCGATCGCAACAGGCTGAGCAATGAATTCGGACACTGGGAAGAAAAAGAAAATGGTCTGCAGAGCAGGCTGAACCGAAGTTCGCTCTTTAACTCTGGGGTGCCGGGCGTTCTCAGGGAAGCGATCCCCTACCCGGGGCGATGTCTCTGCTGAAGGCGTATCCTCCAGACCGAGGGGGAAACGGAGGCAGAGACACGGCACGAAGAAGTTGAGAATACAGGGCATCTCCTTCGCTGCTCAAGCGCCACCTCTTTTCCCCAGGAGCTCCCTCGGCCGCGGGTCGAGAAACCCTTGGCTAGTGCCCGCCCGCGGGGGTCCCGGCGAGTCCCCACGCTCGCTGCTCCGCGGCGGGAAGGCTCCCGCCAACTCTCCATGGCCCGGGGGCTCGGTCCCCGGCTCCCGCAGGCCCGGGGATTGGCTGCCTCTCGCAGCTGCGGTTCAGCTCTGGAGCACCGCGCTCAACCGCATTCCCTCTGATGCTCTCCCGGATACTAAATCTTCCCCCCCCCCCCCGCCCCCCACCCCAACCAACTGGGCTTTGTGAATTTTTACGCAGTTATCTGTTGGGGACCACGAGGAGGACAACGCGTATCCGTTGATACTCAGATAAACTCACTCCCGCCTTTGTGTTCCTGCCTCTTTAAACCCTACAAATATTGGTTGCCCCCCTCAGGATTAAGGCGTTCCTCAGCCTACCTGCAGCCTGTCCCGTCGAGGCAGTCTCGGAGCCAGAAGGGGGTCTCTTGTGACCCAGCAACAGTTAATCAGAGACAGCTAGGTTTGGGGTGACTGGCTGCTTTCGTTGGACGGATTTGTGTATGTTTTACGACTTTCTTTTATCGTGCAGCAAAGGAAAACACTCAGTGTTTTAAGAAAACTTATTATTCTCTTCCTCAGGGACACGAGTTCCAGTCCTGGACACTTTACTTTCTCCTTCTGTTCTTTCCCTACCCGTGTCCAATTTCTTAACTATCGTTATCCTTGATCTTTTCCCAAACTGCCCGGCCCCAGGTTGCCCTGGCCCCTCCTACGATTTGCTCCTCTCTTTAATTTGTCTTGTATGTTAGTCCTGGGTCAACGAGCCTTTTGTGCACGGTCCTGGGCCAGTGTGCATGTGTGTAGTGTGTTTCTTTTGTTATTTTTCTCCTCCTAACACTGTAGAAATGAAACACACATGCAGCTCTGTCGCCTCATATTTTCAGATGTTTTTCACACTATTGTCTGCTCCAGCCCGTTGAAAGTGCAAAGTGAAAACAGATGCATCGCCCCCCCCCCCAATTTTTTTTTTGAAAGGGGACAATCCTAGGATGGGGACTAACCTCTCAAATAAAGATAAGCAATAAATATAATATCAGATTTATAACGTGCATCGAGCACTCTTGATTAGCACCAAGGTGAGCTTTGGTGAGATTTTGATCATTTCCATGTGTCTGGACTACAAGAAGGAATCAGTGGGGGAAGAGCTTTATAAATCAGCATTCATGTCAAGACAAATCAAAATAATGCCTCTATTATTTCAATCAATAAACCATTTTTATTCCCAACATCTGATATACACAGTGTGTGTCCATCTGTTTGTATTTGGAATTGGCAGCTTTGCCTTATACCAAAACAAATCTTTCAAAGATGTGTCAATAAAATTAAAAATTTAAAAAGGATCTAAGAAGGATCTCTCCTTCTCTTTCAAGCCCCTCTGTTCTTCCCCTTTTAAACCTGGCACCCTAAGTCAGCAGGAGAGGTTTGCAAACTCTGTGTTAGAACTGCTCATTCAAAGGACAGAGGAAAGAGGCGGCAGGCACTGGTGGATAGAAGAAACTGAAAGTGACTGTGGGCAATGACGCAGGCGGAAGAAAGCCTGCCTGGCTTCTGGCTCCGAGATACTCCCTGTCTCCCTAAGAGGATCCTTGGGTGGGTGGTGGGGTGGGGGCAAGTAGGCAGGTTTGACAAGGTGCCTCCACTGCTCTGCTGAAAACCAAACCCACCTCTTCCCTCCACCCCCACCAAGATCCCGCCAGCAGGTGTAAGACTGACTTGCTCTTGGGGGCTAATTGGGGTGAGGCTAGCTGGAGAAAGACAGGAGAAGGGAGGGTGAGAAGGAGAGAGGGGGAGAGAGAGAGAGAAGAGGGAAGAAAAAGAGGTGATTTGGCAGACTAAAGGATTGCTTTGTTAGTTTCAGGCAGGTTTGAAGCCTTGTCTCTCAAAATGTCCTGCAGTTTTGGCTTCCAAAGCAGCTTGCTAGATGGGGTCACAATTCTTGATCCATGAAAGGAAGGTAGAGAAGGAGAGAGATGATTTGTTTATGAGTCAACATTGTAGATATCTCCCCAGTGTTGGTATCTCTATGCTTCCTTAGTCATTTTGTTTGTTCCAAATTTGTACATCTAGAAACCAAATGGCGATCATCCTTTTGTTGCTTAAGGTTCATTCTGTCCTGTCCCATCTGTCTGCCATAAATACACAATTTTGCCCAGCCCATTCCTAGTTCATTTCTTTCCACTGGAATGGGAAGGAGAGGGAAAATCCTCCCAGACGGAACCCCAAACAGCGTCGGATTCAGTATAGTCTTTGTTTGCATTCAACAGCTGTCTGCCCACCACGCCTTCAGTCCCCAAGACTGAAGTGCTTCCTCGGGGTTTCATTTGGGAAAGAGGGAAAAAGAAACAGTAAAAAAAAAAAAAAAAGGTATTTTTACAAGCAGGATTCCACAATCATTGGGAACTTTGAGACTTTAATCATCTCTCAGGCTAAATTATCACTCCAACAACTGCTTCCAAAGAACTCGACGCAAATGGGGAAAAAAAAATGTTGGTAATCTGGATGCGCAGATTTTATTTTTTATCCGGAAAAGCTTGTTGGTTTTCTCTCATTGACTCCTTCCTTGCCTCCCTTCTCAGTCACTGGCTTTGTGCGAAGGGGCGGGGGAGAGAGAGAAAGGGGGAAAGCTTAGGCGACGGGAACCTCGAGGCCGAGGGATTTCAAGGAAAGCGAAATAAACCAGGCGGGGAGATTCTCTGTTCATTTCTCTCTCTAATGCGTCTCTCCTCCGGGTCAGAGCGCTAATGACGACCTCGTTCCTACGATTTAGGATGCGAGTGCTTTCAAACAAAGGACACGGGTCCTCTTGCTTTTCCTCGTTCGCTCCCGTAGCTTCTTTCTACCTTCTCCTTTCCTCCCTCCTCCCTTCTTCCCCTAGGCACTTCCCCAGCCCACCCCCTTTTACACACACACACACACACACACACACACACACACACACACACACACACACACACACACGCCTCGCTCAAAGCCCTTCCTTCCTCCTCCCTACGATCCAGTCCTGTGCTGTTTCCCACTCCTTGGCCGGCTACTTTCCAGACGGGATTTCGACACCCATTATATTGTTGCCTGAAGGGCACGCTCCGATTTCCGGAGATCGTTTTCTGTTCCGGTTCTGGTATTGGATTCAGGAGTCCACGAACAAATCTACAGCTTCCCTCCAAACCTTTCGGTTTGGGCGCCTTGCAAGGGCCCCCTCAGTCCCACCCTTGCTTGTCTGCCCACGTCGGCTTGGAAACATTTCCCGGGGTCTTGTTCTTTCTGTATTTTCTATTTCTGAACAAGCCAAAGCGCAAAAGGACTCTAGATGCAGCGCAGGTTTTTCCCCGGAGAAAGGGGATGGGGATGAGGGGATGTTCTCATCTCTGTAGGTTCTGAAGGGGGACAAAGAGGGCCACGCAGACGAGACGAGCCAGGTGGCCTGAGCCGACCTGTGGAGATCCAAGGTCCAAGCGCAGGCTTGGCCCACTCTTCTTTACAAGGCAACGCCAAGGCTTTCCGCAACCAGGCCAGCTCCCGAGGTGAACCGCTTAAGCCCCCCAGGAAGGAAGCTCCGAACGCCCCAAGGATACCCGATCTATCTGGTTTTCTCCCAAGAAGGAGGCAAGAAATTGCAACTCTCTCGAGAAATGAGTTTTAAGGGTCACTTGAAATTGAGCCTCCTAAACCCCGTCGCGTTGGCGGAGTGAAAACAAAAAAGCTCAACCTAGGTCCCGCCCCTGGGCTAAGAGGCGCCTTAGGAGCCCAAGAGAGAAGGGGTTTTGAAGCACTCGATTTTGAGATGCAAGCCTGGTCCCCAAGTCCTGAACGCCTACCTTGAAAAACTACAGAGAAAACTGTTTTCAAACTCCCAAACCCCCGATCAACGATTTTCAAAAACTCAACTATAAACCCCTCCCCCTCTTCGCCCACCAAAATTGAGAACTTTCCTAGATTTTAAGTGAGAGGAAGATACAAAGGATTGATTCCTTTTCCGTTTAAATATCAACATTCACAAGTGTTGGAGGAAAGGGAGGAATATAGTTCGGATTGTTTGGAGGGGTGGTTTGATTTGGTCTTAATTATTTTATGACTTTAAATATTTTTCTTTTGGGTTTCTTTGTTATTTTGAGGTTCATTTGAAAGACTCAGGACTGCATTCTGAATAAAGCATTTTTTTTGTTGTTGTCTCAAAATTTCAAACTGACATAAGTGTTGGATCATCAGTTTTCCCTTTGTCTGCCCTGGTTGTAAATAATGGCTTTGAGATTAGCTAATTAAGGGGCATTAATCACTGATAGAAAGGGAATAAATCAAAGCCTTGTTCTAAATTTCAAACTTGCCTGTATAGATGTGCATAGCTACTCTATCTGGAGCAGATAGGTGCTGTTTGAATTACTGTTCTTCAGAGTAAACCAAATCCACTTCACTTTTTAAAAAATGAGTATTGTATTTATACAGACTGGTTGTGCCATTAAATGAAGTCCCCCTCCCATTCTTATTCCATTTCATAAACAAAGTGTAGAGACGACAGTTATTACGGGTTAAAAGAGCCAAACCTTAGCTTTTGCCTAGCATTGTGCTTACCTTTAGGTACGAGATGGGGGAAGGGGGAGTCGGAAAAGGGAGGAATAAACTCTAAGCGGATACAGATGGAAGGAGGATAAATAGATTTGTATTGGGGTTTGTTTTTAATCAGAATACAGTTTTTGTGGAAATTCTTCAATGCCTGCAGTATTTCAGGTATAATTCTCTAGACTGCATTCCCTTAGCCCTCTGCATAAGACATTAAAAAACATTAGGTTCTGGTTTGTGAAAAAGAAAAGCAAGCATTCAGCGTGTGTGTGTGTGTGTGTGTGTGTGTGTGTGTGTGTGTGTAAGAAAAGAATAAGGCTCGCCTCTCCACCGCGTTTGGCTACGCCAGTGATGCTCATTGCATTCCGTCTTGTTCCATGCTCACAACCCTGCACAGTATTTGGGAGCTTGGACCATTTCAACACCGACAAAAGAGGCTTTAAATAAGTACATGTCATAAAACAACAAGCCAGTCCCTGGGAGCAAGTAAAAATTTATTCGCTTCACGTAAAGCCCTCCGAAACAGTAAACAGAGAGCAGATAATCCACAGCCAGGCGGGGGATCTGCAGGCCCGTAGCTGGGTGTCTGTGCGGGCTCTGCGCGCATCTCGGCCTCTGTGCGCACTGCTTCCCCCACACTCCCCGCAACTGCAAGTAAAGACTTGTGTGTTG